ACACACACACACACACACACACACACACACACACACACACACACACACACACACACACACACACACACACACACACACACACACACGCACACACAAACACACACACACATATTCTATTTTCATATTTTTAGATTGCACTTGCATTTAGCAAATTGTGCTAACTAGTATACGCAATCGTTATCGTTACTCCTCTAAAAGTCAAGATGTTATTATTGCTTATTGACATGATTACTTACCCGTCTGAAATGCTAACGCGATAAACACGAAAAAACACGCTGCAATCATCATGTCTTGTTTCTATTTGCCAGCTACTGCAACACTGCCTGTGCAACGAGTGGCTAAACTGTGAACGCAACGATATATTTATAGCGCAGCATGCCACATGAGCTGCTTGAATGCAGGGCGCATGCGCACAACGCGTCACTAAAAGTGGCGCAACCGGCCATCGTAAATGCACACAGCATATTACATCCTAGAATATATACAACACAGCCTTACTCAGGTGTGTATATATACACAGGTGTGTACATGTACACACTGTGTATATGCACACATGTATGTTGTATATATCTATGATTACATGAAGCAGCATGAGCAACGTTGGTTGATTGGTTGTTCTGGGAATTGTAATTTAAATATATACTGACGAGTTGTACAGGACATAGCTGAACGGTGCATTACATTCCCTTTCTAGGTATACTCATTGGTAATTTTCCATTCACGTGAACGTTTCCGAGATACATTATTATCAGGAGTAGATAATAGGGCGTTTATAGGATATTATTTAGCACGTGGTATCTTTAGCGTCATGTCTCGTGAAGCGTGCTAAACTTCATTTCACGCATCACGTCATCTCGCGTGTTATTTTCGTCATAGCACGAGACTAGTCCTGATCGGCGCATTCGCAAGGTAGCAAGGTAGCATTCGCACGCGAGCACACCTGCCTTTAGATACAATAATGTAACCAGGGGCGGCGCCAGAGGATGGGCGGGGGGGGGGGTCGCCCCCCTATCATTTGCAAGAAAAGGGAAAGAAGAAGAAAAAGAAAAAGAAAAAGAAAAGAAAAAAGGAAAAGAAAAAGTAAAAGAAAAAAGAAAAGAAAAAGAAAAAAAAGAAGAAAAAGAAAAGGGAAAGAAGAAACATCTTGCAAATGATAAGGTTAGGGTTAGGGAGGGCCAGAAATATTTTTAAATTAGACCCCCTCAGATGCGTTTTCTGCGCGAGCAAGGGGGTGGTCCGGACCCCCTGGACCCCCCCCCCCTTGTACACGCCCCTGCACACTGTGACTCGGTAACTATCCGGAGCGCTTCTATACTCGTATCATTGCTAACATAATGATAAAAGCAGAGTACGGGCCTGTACGGCCAAACTTTAGTTGGCATTCAAGAAACGTGCGTGGGATGTTGGGACGCAATCCAGGTAGGTAGTAGTATTGAATCCAGTAGCAGCGTTGGCATACCAAAAATAGATAAGAAGTAGATGGAGCTTACTTTTGGCCAGTGGTAGTGAACCTTACATTGTGTTGGCCAGGGTTTATTTACGTGCACGGGTCGTGCGGCACGCTGACTGTTCACGTGCGCTAGGTTGTGGAGTAAAAAGTTTCGCACATCCCCGCGCATTTCACGTTTGAATGTAAACAATAAAGTATCACTGGTAGTTAACAAACGATCAGTATATGTACTGTTTTAAAATAATATTAAGAAGATTTCTGTAATATAGCATGTTGAATTATACAGTAAATAATAATAATTGTCTCAAGTTTTAACACACATAATTAAGTGTGTCATTTTAAAGTGTGTCATTATAAAGTGACATTTTTGTCACTGTAGCTGCAAATCACGTCGTATTACTTACTAGTCATGCATGTCATATTGTTTTTAACGTTTGGAAAAACTATATACATTTTATACAGGGTGTAGCTAAATAAAAGCTTCCCTACGTAATGAGACAATGACTACGTTGACACGTTAGCTACGTTGACACGTTGACTACGTAAGACAATGACTACGTTAGAGCTTGTATGTCAGTGTCTACAAAATACTTTGAACACACTCAACACAGACGCAATTCCCCAGTGCCCATCAAAATTTTACATATGTTATATATGCATAATTTTTTCCTTTTCCACCAAAAAGTGTTGCTAGTTGTGAGCTATTGGAGTACCCTGAAATGGCTCTAGATTGCATCTCAGAGCTTATAATTTTCAAAATTTTTCTAGGGGGGCATTCCCCCAGACCCCCCTAGAAGTACCCCCCTTCCCCCCTAGAAGTCCCCCCACAAGTGTTATTATCTACTCTTGATTGTATCTTAAACCTGCCTTGCGGACCTAAGCCGACAAATATTCACGCAGAGAACAATTTTGCGATTTTGCCTTTAGAATAACAAATTGACTTCTTGTGATTTATTGCACTTGAAATGTAGGAGACTTTCCGTAGCACTGGGTTTTGTTGAATGTCTTGACTGATAATATTGCCTACACACGGGCAATTAAGTCACTGCCGACTGTAGGCCCTATACGGGCATTCCCAGATGTAGCTGTAGTCCAGCTAATAATTGTCCAGCCATGTGTCTATTCTTTTTTATAGACCGGAGGCTATCGTGATAAAACTACTATTAAAAAAGAATAGACACATGGCTGGACAATTATTAGCTCGACTACAGCTACATACGATAGCCTCTGGTCTATCGCTGGTCTCTCTCTACACGTGTAGAGTTTTCTTAGTTCCGGGGTTAATTTTATGCCTAACAAACCAGCTTACTCTTCCTATTCTTTACCAGCCATGCATATCCGTCCAGGCACCCACCCTGCTCGGCCACCTGCCCAATTTGTGGCCCGGTGTCTTTTCGCTTAGACATATATACTCGAATCGTGCGATGTATATTAGACAGGGAGAAAACGTAGATATGCAGACCGGGTGAAAACGCGGTCATTTAACTGTAACCAGTATAGCAGTAGAAACCAGCAGGTGGTCGAACACCTCAGAGATCCTAAACGGGTAAACTTTAATGAATGAATACATGGTTCAATATCCTTCTTACACCATTGTGGTGATATATTTCTTATATCATTTATTTAGGAAACTAAATGAATTAAAAGCGAGCGGTTTCTTTCTAAATAACAGAAGCCGTGCAGCATATCGATAGGGTCCTGATTGGGTACCACAAATCTCAGTCTACCTATAAAGCTTTGGATGTTTTTTTCAGTTCTCAGTGAATATCTTCGTTTCTAATTACTAAAATTTGTTGATTTATTGAAGCTAACCTTAGCTAGTAGGCCTATATGTGAGCGCGCATCGTAAAACATATATATTTATTCACAACAGTGCAAAAAGTTGCGATCCATTGAAAAAATGCAAGATGTCCTATGTATTCGCTCATGCCAAAATAAGTAAAGGTCAGTATAGCTTATAAAGTCCCTTAAGGCTTAAATACATATTGCATAGATATTTAGTGTGGCACGGTGCGTTTTATTTAAACTTTTATATAGTACCATAATAATGTATCGGCGTAAATCTAAATTACCAGTCTGATGATTTAAAAACGTCAAAAATCCAGTAGTTGAAACAGCTCAGAGACACAATCTGTTTCCATGATCTGTTTTCAAAGACTAATAGTGATGTATTAGTACTGAGATTTGTGTCTAACGTGAGATTATTTCACGTTGGGCAGCACAGTATTTCCATACGCAGCCTAGACATTTTTTCAGATCGGACATAAATTGTTCAATGGCTTCTCAACCTGCGAGGCTGGAATTTGCAAAGACAAGTGAGGGTTGCATGTGACAGATCATGCAATGATTTATATAAGATATTGAAATGTACTTTGCCGTATGTTCACAAAAGTAGATTCAAAGTTTGCACAGAAGACTTGTCAGTTTTGTGCTAGACAATACCAAGTGTAGCAGTCAAAGCAGTCGCATTCTTTCTCAACGTATTTTTTATATTGCTCACACACTACACGTTATGCGTAGTAATTTACTAACCGCCACAGTGCCGATTATGACTACTGTGATGGCTAAAATGTTTCTGACTACTCCCCTTTCTGTTTTAGATGAATTACCAGTTGGAACCCGTCGATGTTAACTGGTTAGTATTTCCCGAGAGAACGCGGTCTCTATATGCCATAGTCTTCTATGGTTCTACCTATTCTTGCTTTCCAGACAATATCATTCTGTCATTCGGGGCATTGGACTGTATATTAAGCCTATATAGCTATTCACATATTTTCCTTATATTAACGCTGTAGCAATATAATATAGCCATACGCAATGAAGGGTAGGTCCTATTTCTGATTAACCCACAGTTGGTGGTCATAGTGGTTGCATGCGCATCACGAACTTTTCTGCACAGACAGACCTAGGAATATTTTCCAAGCCAATAATAATACATCTTTTTCAGTATAGACTTTTGCCAATTCACCTTGAGAAAATAACATTTAAAGAGGTGACTGCCCAAGATAGCGTAAGGATGATTTTTGTGTATTTGGTGCCCTAGCTAGGAACAGAGCGAACCCCCTAAATAAAATTGAGATCCCTGAGACCAAGAGTAACGGAACTAGTCGGTAGTTCGTACCAGAGGAGTAACGGAGGGTATCACAATCGATGTGCTTTGCGCTATGTTAGTCAGGCCTCAATCATGAATATCCATGCATGTAGCAATCGTTTTGCAGATTTTTCTATTTTTGCGCTAGCGATTTCCCCCATTTTAGTTTTTAACTGTAGTGCATACTCCAAAAATACACATGTTGTGTGTGCGCGCGTGCGTGCGTGCGCCTGTACCTATTCTGTTTCTTAGTTTTATTTTATTTTTGCTCAATCATGAAAGCTCTGTAAATTTACACTCGGTGTGCTTTGATATTCTTAATTCTCATATTTGACACACGTAATTTTGCAAATTAGCAGGCCTTCACATGCTTTGATTTGATTTTTGATTGATTGATTGATTGATTGATTGATTTGATTGATTGATTTGATGCACAGGGTTTGATGCATTTCTAATTTCCTATCATATTTTATTTTTATTCAGTTGTCTTATCAGGTGTGCATTGAATCAACTTGAGCCCATGGCGCAAGGGAAGCCCAGTTAGCAATGTTAGTCAAGCAGTTATGTACACAGTAGTGCTTATTCCATAAATATAAACAAAAAGTATCTCAGGTGAAACATTTTATTTAAAACACCCATCGAATTCTAACTTTAAAGGGTACAGACTGTGATACTATGACTTAAAATACCCTGACCCACACAAAAACACATCAAATTTGAAATTACATCAATCACATTTTACACATTACATATGGTCATTCTATTATCTAACATCTGTTGTGTGTTGTGTGTGTGTGTGTGTGTGTGTGTGTGTGTGTGTGTGTGTGTGTGTGTGTGTGTGTGTGTGTGTGTGTGTGTGTGTGTGTGTGTGTGTGTGTGTGTGTGTGTGTGTGTGCGCGCGTGCGTGCGTGCGTGCATGCGTGCGTGTAGGTGTGCGTGTGTGCGCGTGAAATACTATCAAATACTAACATCACTACAATTACTTTGAACGTAGAATAAATCCATGCTGGAATGGTAGAGGGTGTAATTGATTCACCTGGTGTTATCACCTAGTGCTATTACCCGTTATATTACTATCACTAAAATTGGCCATACGGGCCAAACTGGTCAACAGGGGCTATAATATTGTAGTAAAGTAATTTTTTGTTTGTTTTTCAATCTTTCTCTCGCTCTCTCCTCTCTCGTGTGTATGTAACGTTATATGAAACACAAAAACAACTAACGACACGTGCATGCAAACTAATCACGTTAACAAGTTATACACTACGTACCTACACTTAATATAAACTAAATACGAATTTAATACAATACAATGAATACCACACCTGCGACTACTGGTGACAAATGTGGTGTGAAGAGCTGGCTGTGTAGCTTGATGCCAACAAGTGTAACCGACAAACTATTGTAAGAGGAATCACAGGGAAGGTCTTCAATTGCATAGCCCTGATCTTGATCTTTGATAGAATATACCAAAGCAATAACTATAATACCGTTACATTAGTCATGATAATCAGCATAATGTTACTGTCAAGAGTGTTGAAAAACCATCTATATATTCATATGAATACAGCTCGATGGGCAGACGAACAGTCTATGGACCAAATTAGCAAAACACATAAGAATACAGATAGTTTCAATGGCAATGATAAAGAACATTTGTTTTTCATCTACCACAGCTTTTCTGTTCAATTCTTAAAATCGTTTAGTACCATATTCGAACACAAAAAAACACGTATGGCATTATCTTTGCCCTATTACACCAGCCATTAATGAAACACACACAACCTAATCAAACGAGTTATGAATTAATATTTTAATGTCAGGGGCTATAAAAATAGACAACCTCCAAATCAAACTTCAGCTCACTAATTATGCATCCAGTTGATAAATGTTACAAAAATCGGAAAAACGTTTGAACTGTTTGAATTAACTTAAATAGACACGATTTGGCGCCAAAATAAATTGAAATATCACCAAGTATGACCAGCTGTTCCTTCTTTAAACCTACGAATGTATTCACACAAAAACCGATACAAACATATGTCTCACTAAGATCAATACTTCCAAACCATAGAAAACAACAACTACGAAGCATAATGTCACATGAGCTACCAACACCATGACAATTTTCATTGTGATTTTACAGAACCATCTATGGGTAAATCCCACAAATGATAACCAGAGAGTTGATATTATGCACCCATAAAACTCCCAGAGTGGGATAGAAGATCTAAATATTGCTGTATACATGTGTTGTTTCAGTTATTGCAGTTATGATCTCACAAATTATGTTTGATTAGGCAAATGAACCAACCTACTGTTTACAACCCACATTTTAGAGCATCTGTCTTATGCCCATCAAACTGATACATTTGGAAGTCTTTGTGAGACGTGTACAAAGTTTACAAGAAACTAAGTGGTACTGTTGAAAGCCACTATTTTTTATGTTCACTGCAGCATTATTTAACATGCGACGGTTCGCTACAATCTCAAGATTTCATCCCACATTTATGTCTAAACTTAGAGAAGCAGAGCTGTGCTGAACAAGGTCAGCAGAAGGGCGGCTAGGGTGAAGCTATGTGCGATTGCGCCATTACAGTGATCACCAGAACATACGCATGTCCACACCTCTCCATCCTGCTGCTTTTGCTTTTCACACTTTTCCTCTACCGGCATCTGGAAGCAACCTCTGGCTACCCAGGTTTTATCTATAACAAATGTTGCATTTTTGAGAAAAAATTACAATAAATTGATTGCATGATGATCAGTTATACTACTTTTACTATACTTAATATTAAGAGCTAATAAACTCTTTGTGTTTATTAGCTTAGATTTAAAACTCTGGTGTTTATTAGCTCTTGTTAATATACATGATGACACTACTTTTATTAAAGAACACGAATCTCATCATTAAGAAACAAATGAAATTAATTTCCATAACGAACACACAGCCTACCAAAAGAACCCAGCACACAAAATGTTAGAGTTTCTAACCAAACCACTGAAGCCCGTGTCATTAACTTACCATCCTCACTGAACTTGAACTTGTAGCATGCACCTTCACAGTTAACAGTTTTCGAGTCATCATCTGGCATCAGGGTCGTTTTGTCTGCACACTGTTCCGATGATGTTGAATTGTCCAGATTAAGGTTCAAGCCGAGGTTGTCTGTTTAAACACACACACACACATCAGTGACAAAAATAATCTTAAAAGCACTCTGCATTCAATAAAGGGTATAAATCATATAACAGCAATAGAAAACAATCGCGAGCTTGCCCATCAGCAATTCTTCAGGAAATTCATGGTTTGTGATTATTTGCCTCGTCTCCTCACACCATATTAAGTTAACACTAAGTACATCTGATTTTGTCGTTATTCAAAATCAAACCGTGGTCCGGTTACTTTTCATACTTACTGAATGTATCAGACAGTAGTGAGGTGACGAGGTCCCCTCCGGGATGATTGGAGTATTGACACTCATAGCATCTGGTGGCCTCGACTGAAATGAAGAAATTAACAAAAATGTTACTAATATACCGATTATTTTTAATTTCATGTTAACACAAACCACACAGCTGTGACGTAAAAACAGATTCAAGATTTGCGTTTTTATGAGCAATAACGACAATAGCCTTGTTCCAATGATTACGCCTAAATTAGGACAGATTTTAAATTAATGCGGCACATCAGTAATTTGGTGATTACCCATCTTCTATGGAAAACAAACAACGTCATGTATCAAAGCGTGCGTAAATTTACCAATATCGCCATGGCCTGCAGAAATGAGGGTTAAAATAAAGGATGTCGTTTAAACTTCCAAATAACCCAATCAAGCTTTAACATATTGAGGCCTATTGTTATTATCAAGAGTTTATCTTAAAATACCTAAAATGGGCTACAATAAAAAATTATGCTGCATTTAAAGAATTCACTCAGAAGTAGCACACAATAATGTAGATATGCGCAGTATGCTCTGAAAACATCTCCGGCGAGAAATGTCAAATGCGCTCAATGTAAGCTCATTAAATTCACGTCGGAGGCAGCGACAAATGCAATTAACACCCCTCCCTCAGGAAAAAAATGACGACCAGCAAATACAAAACGCCGTTCATAATTTGCATCCTAGCTGCACATCAACATGCAGTTATACGTTATACTTATAGGCAGGAATCTTTGCACAACTATAATCCCATAAAGCTTTGTGCCGCTGAAGGGGTCGTTGTCGTATCAGGTACTACATATATGTACCCGAGGTACATATATGTATGTACACAAAGTGTACCAGACTTGTACTACAGAAGTGTACCCTAACCCTAACCCTAAACATACCTCATATAAAAATATAAACATAATACTAAACAACCTAAAACTACCTCGGGTACATATATGTAGTACCTGATACGACAACGACCCTTCGTGCCTTTGTGCCTTGCATACATGTATAAGCAATTATAAACGCATTCATGACCTACAAAAATAATGAACTTTTGCCAGATTTTGTTAGATGGCATGATGACTGATAGCTTAATGTTATGCTGGTCGAATTCACGTTTAAAGAACGCTGTGTACAGAAAACTGGCAATGTGTTTTATTGTACAGCTGGTCTCTAAGATCATACTTTACTTACCAGTACCTGTACTAACAAGTAAAAGTATCTACAAAACTCCCTATTTTTGTGTCAATAATATGCACACTGCTTTGGCGTATAGCCCGAATGTTCTCCGTGTACGAGGCTATATTAGACAGACTAGGGGGTATAACAGAATTAAGTACAACAAGTAATTTTAGGTTAGGTGTAAAAGGTATTTGAGTCACGTAAATATGCTCGCGTATATTTCACGCGCATATCCACGTCAATTAAGGAATCTAGTTTTTAAACATGCCAATCAAAAAACAGACACACTGAACTGTGTTATTTTCGCATATACATTAATGGCTATTTTGAGTGTTGCCGCATTCGACCTACGCTATAATTATTGCCGCTATATGTGATGTTGCTACCTGCATGGTAATAACACAGTGACAGCACACACAAAGCGCAGCTAGGATGCGTCAGCAGCAGCAGCACAGGTGCTGTAGTTGTATGCTTCTATATTCTGTAAAGGTTTCATTCGCGAGATAGTCAAACATTGCTTATACGTAGGCATATGGCGTCAACAAAAAACAAATAACTGCATCTGCATTACCTATACAATCATCACACACTGGTTCACGTATGCAAATTTATCTAATCAATATATAAATACCTGTGAATATATTCGTACTAAATACATTAATTATCACACAGCTATAGAAACACGTACCCTAGCTGTGTATGATAAATAAGTGATACATAGCTTGACCATGTCTCCTAAGTAAATAGATAAACAGGCAGCACTGAAAATATGGTGCCATGATATCTTTTAAAGTGATATTAGTATGTAAACAGTAATATAGGGTAATTACAAAGCTGATAATGCATGGCCGGTGTTCTGTGATGCAGGAAAGATGTCAATAAAGCGAGATGTGTAAATATTTCTTAGAATTTCAATGTTACACGTTTAGAAACTGAAAAAACTATCGCAGAAAAATTCGCCACATTTTTGTATGGAAGGCTATTAATTAGGCCTTAGAATAGATTCAGATTGTAAACAATTCTAGGGCACAATCTATTGGTCTACGGAGCTAACAAGTAATATGATTTTTAAGTGAAGTGAGGTGAAACATTGTTTAATTCAGTTTCACTTTTTAAATCTACACGTGAAATTGTAGCATATCACACCCACCATTCAACAGATAGGGCTAGAAAGGGCATTTAATTCAGTCCTTTGTTAACAGTAAACAAATCCATGTTCAACATTTGAGGGTTAAAAGGTCATTGCACAGCAACTCTAATTCGCACGTGATTGAAAAGTACATTTCATGGTCCTTTCAATAAAGTCATGTAATGGTAGGCCATAAATTCACCTATCGGTCCATTGGACAATGTTTTCCAAAAATGTCAGAAATCCTTTGCCCACTACCTTCTGACATATGTGACTTCAAATTTTACCAAGGTGAGGGCATCTTTCATCCCGACTTTACATACCGAAAATGGAAGGGTCAATGCGTTGACATTTGTGCTGCAATTCTGCTTCCTCATTATTATGTCATATGCCTCAAGTTAAAGGGAACATATTCCCTGGCCTTCACACTGCTTGGCCCTCTCCCTCCAGAATCTGCCTTATGTCATTTCGGATTTCCCCCCCCACCTCCCAACGTCCCAAATATAAAAACAGTACCGGTACGTCGAGCCGTTTAGATTCGTGCCCATATTGTTGACGGACAGACGTTTATGCCATTCTACAAGCTGCATAGGACTGTGTCAGGTGAGTTAAAACTCAACAGAATATGACCAGAGAGATTATATGGGGCGAGTGAGAGCGGGGACGCGCACACGCAAGATGAGACAAAGAGAAAAGAGCTGGTTTAGGAGCAAAGTGATCGCAGTGATTGTAAACCTTGATGTGACAGACGCTGCTAGTGATGTACTTCGTTCGGTTTGATATCACATAACGACCATCCCAGATATATTTTTGTGCGCTCACACGTTGTGAAACGTGCTGATATTGTGCAAACGCGGCGAGAACCCTCTATATTCATGCTGAGCTAGGCCAACTGTTACTATGGCCTCTATGTGTGGCCGAATATAGGGATCATCTCCATGACAACATATAATGACTTTGTGGAGCGAGAGACTTAACACCAGGGTGGCGATCAGTAGAAGGTTATTACAGTAGCTACAGCACCATGCTCAGGTAAGCCCTTTATATTTCGAGTAACCAAGCAAGCTGCTGTTATAGTTACCTTGGTTTATGAGGGCGTACAGTGCCTCAGGGGGCCATGGCAAGAGTATCAATAATCAATAATGTGCCATTGATGCCTTTTAACGGCCGTGCCTCACCGTTACCGCCCCGAATTCTTCAGATTTTTTTGGCATTTAGAGGTGTGGCACAGAAAATACGAACCCTTGAAGAAACATGCCGCAAACATGAAGGTCACAGAGGCAGGCCAGCTTACACAATATGGAGTTTTACATCAGTGTGCTCCGCAGAAATTGCTGGTAAAGCGAATTAGAGATGCCAGGCGTTTTTAGCGAAGAATGGGAAATATTACAGAATGAATCATTCGTGCTAAAACATAATTAATGAAAGTGTCAATTGACACTAATTGACACTAATTGACAGAATTGACACTATAGCTCACCTTGGGTGTGATAGAAGAGGGAGATGATATTTAAAATTTGGTAAGTGTTTCATTTATGATGGACCGAAATGTGATCAAATGTCCTTATTCCCTGTTTTATACTAATGAAAATTTCAGTTTTGTTTCAGGGTTAGTTTTGATGCGAAAATAAATGTTTCAGATCTGAAAGTCTGAAATCTGGGCGAGAGATGGCGCAACGCTTAAATGATCGCTATTTTGGTTTTCGATTATCGCGCAAATAAAAGTAATAAAATATTCCAGTCAAATTATTATAACGAAGAATCTAAAACACAGTATTACACGTAGGTATGATTAGGTAGGTATAGGTAGGTAAATTTAACAAAATCGAATGAATTTAGATTTCCATTTTTGCCAAAAAGTTGGCGTGACTCGAAAGTAGGTCGACTGGCGTGCTCCAAAACAGTAAGTGCAAATCTCTCCCATAGGAGTAGCCCGACCAGGCTGTGCGACGGATTGTCTATACCCTTGTCTATACCCCTTGTCTATGCGACGGTATTCTAACCCTAGCAATACCGTTTCTTGGAGCTACCATAGGAGTAACAATTGTATGCAATTTGAAACATGTGGGTCAAACGGTTCTTGAGTTATCGTTGACCGTAGGCAGTACAAGCACTGAAATGCATAGTGAAATTGCCAAAATCTACCTAATTTGCTTAATTAAAAAAAAAATCAAAACCCGTGTGATATGTTTTGGGGCCAGTCCTTATTCATTCACATACCAAAAATGAGCAAAATCCATTGAACCTGAACTGACTTATGGCGATTTCCATTTTTGCCAAAAAGTGGACGTGGCTCGAAAGTAGGTCGACTGGCGTGCTCCAAAATAGGACGTTCACATCTCTCCCATAGGAGTAACAACTGTATGCAATTTGAAACATGTGGGTCAAACGGTTCTCAATTTATCGTTGACCGTTGCCAAATGTTGACGGACGGACGGACGTACGACGGACGATACCCCATGGCAATAGCTCATCTTGACGAGGTCAAGGCGAGCTAAAAATGTATACTTCTTACTACCTGCATTATTGGCAATTGCTTACTGCTTTCAAGCCAACGCAACCGAACGTTTACACGTAAGATACCGACTGACGGTGTGTTATAAATAGTTATCCCCCCCCCCGCCGCGCAACCCCGAGTTGGGGTGATACTCCATTAGGAGTGTTCCCAACTTTAATGTCATTAATGGGTTAGGGTTATGTTAATATAGGTTATGTTAATATAGGTTATGTTAATATAGGTTAGGGTTAGGGTTAG